ATATATATACTGAAGTTAAAAAAACCAAATAAAAAAAATGGAGCACCTAGGTAGACATATAAATCGGTTTGTTGGACTTTATATTAATGCTTTAAGTGCATCATATATATCTGGACCATTCTGGCATTCAAACGTGAGGTATATCATATGACACATTTAACATGCTGTACTTACTTCGATGCTATTTGTTTTTAATTGGTTCTAGATTTTTCAGGGCTACAGGAGTTATTGGCCGCAAGATGTAGTGAGACTTTCTATTAAAGTCTTTCTTCTATTATTATATATGTTTAAGTCCAGATAGCACTGACTTCTACAGGTGTCGAACTGGTGTGGATTTGCATAGATGTGACGGGTAGTTTCTCCCCGAAGTTCATGCCGGAGAATACCACCGCATATGTTACACAGCTATATTAGACCAGTTGTTTGCCGTCGGATTGAATCATGTGTGTGCCGGTACGAAATGGCAGCTAACCTAAATTAGTCCCCTTGTATGACAGTCATATGACGCAGACACACCCACCTGCTGTGCTGCATTTTTGCAAAGTTCGTGCTCGTAGAGTGGGTGTCTCCTTTAGTCGTCGTGCACGGTTTGGCGTTGGATATAAATCTTGTTGGCGGAACCTACAATACTTTGCCTGGACAAAAAAAGAACCTGACGACCTACTGTTTTCAGAATCGCTTGGATAGCTACGAACTATCACCAGGTTAAAGTTCAGTATCTATCACTGAAATGGTACTCTCTGGAAGGAAGCCTCTTCCAATAGCAAAGTATGCTGCATATACCCAATCATGGCGGCGCGGCGACAATGGATGTAGATTGTACTGGAGTGGTGGCGCTCGATGCGGAACCGCAATTCCGAGAACTTCCCGAGGTAGCCCTCCAAGAGCTATTCTTCGTGGATGCTCGTTCATGTGTGGTATTGTAACTGAATTTTCTCTTGTCGGCCGCTTTGCTCTTGGGTTTTGCTGCACTTTTCCCACTACTTCCTGGATAATTCTTGATACGAGTACGCATCACGGGATCTGGTCCTTCCGGAAACGGTAGTTGCATCCAGGCATGTTCGAATATTTGCTCTGATGTATACCTATCGTAAATAAAAGGTGCTGGAGTGTAAGGGTTTGCTCACCGCACACGACTCCACACATTCGAATACATTAAAAAATATACGACTTTCTCGCAGACGTACCTTTGCCTGTAATCAATGCAGATGATCTTCATCATAAGATTTGCAGCCAGAGGCTTGACATGCGGAGGGATGACCAAATTCCGTGTCAGTTCTTCTTCGGAGATGAGAGGGTCGTACAACACATGTCGTGCCTCTGTTTTAACTCTATCGCCTAGAGCCTTGAAGGGCATCTTTCCAATAAGCATGTTAAACAGAACCACACCGCACGCCCACATATCTGCAGCCTTTCCATTGTAAGGCTGTTTGCGCCGTACCAACTCGGGGGCAGCATAAACATTTGAACCGCACACCGTTGTTAGCATGTCACAGTTAGTTTCGGTACACTGCTTACCGAATCTGAACGGGATAGAGTAGAAGCATATCAGAAGCCGAGAATAAATGATAGAAAGATTCAGACTGAAAGATTGGGGACCAAAACCATAAATTAAAATATAGACATACATACCCGAAATCGGTCAGTTTAACATTGTATTCGGTATCCAGCAGAAGGTTCTGAGGTTTCACATCTCGGTGAACGATATTCAAAGTATGGAGGAACGCGACAGCTGGTGTAATATAATACGTTTATAAATCAGATACAAATTTACCGCCGCAGACTCGTTCGCGTGTCCCACCGCATAAATAGAAAGTGCAAGTACTGTTTGCACTTACCCAACAAACATTTAGCCGTGGTCATACATGTATGGTCTTGTCATGAAGCGAGCAAACATTTGGCTTTTCAGCGATGGTATCAAGAGAAGCAAGATGAAATCGAACATACCGTCCATTAGCTGGTAGAATAGCCGCCTTGACTCACAGTCCGTTAATTTTTTATTCCACGTCGAATTGATGTATTGTAAAAGATCAATTGGGGCATACTCGAGGACTATGCAGACCAGGGAACCGGTATCAAAAACATTCAAGATCTGACATATCCGCCTGTGATTGGCGCGCTATGCAGTACCAAAAACGAGAAGGAAGACTCTCAGTCACTTATATTCAAACCGTAATATCACAAAATATGATAGGCAATACAACGCTAGCACTCTTCAAAGAGGCAGTATGTACAGAAACGTAGCGAGGGCGGTTGGCAGGTTAAACCAGGGTTAATATATGATCGCTATCTTCTGAAGGGTGTCAAGCTGGTAGCTTACCTTCTGTACGTTCACCTCCTGAAAAATATGTTTGGTTGTAAAGCCTCGGTGCCGTTCATTTTTAGTTATAATTTTGATTGCTGCCTTCTCTTTTGTGATTGAATTGACTCCCAGCTTCACCTGTGATGCGAGTGTTCGACGTATAATAATTGTGAGCAAAAAAACACATGTGTCTCGCAATTCATGTAATGTACGCAATTAGGCATATAGATACCACGAGCAAAGCTGATATACCGACAATCATATTCGAAAGTATATGTATAGCTTCACAAACCTTGGAGAATGTTCCTTTACCAATTGTGGTTCCTATATCGTATAAACCCAAACGCGTTAGTTGCTCTAGTTGGTCCTCCGAGGTTGGCCTCTCTTTTTGTACTACCATCTCTTCCCGTTCTTTCCGCATATTCGCACTCTCGGCGTCATCATTTGTGCCACTGGCATTGTTGTTGACGAGTGCTAGCTTCGATAGGCGTGTGGTGATCGTGGCCACTGAGGGTCCCCGATTTATTTTCCTACAGAGTGAGACACCGCGCATCTTTTTAGAAGAGCCATACAAACCACTAACAAGTAATTCTACAAAACCTGCGCACAACAAATAAATACCTGCACGAATGGACAATAGGTGGTTGCTTCTCAAACAGTATGTATAGCAGTTTGAGTACATACTGTACGTTACATTCATAAGACAGATTAAGCCTTGTTAATTGTATATTCCAGCCGACACGTCGTATCCATGAAGTACAAAAAAACGTTGGGTTAACTTAAAACTCGCTGGAGAACTAGGCGTCAGCGTGAATCAATGCCATCGTACCGATCGATAGTAGTAGCCTTCGTTACTTGCGCTTGCGCGGTGGTATCGCGACCACTGAAACGGAAATAAGACATCCATCTGTTCTCACCGCTCGCTTTTTCGGCCTTCATTGCGCTGGTGAATAACAATTGTTTGACTTAACTAGAGACGTGCAAGTACGTGAATAAGTCCCCATGAATTTAGCGTGTGGTTATTTCATATTCACACAAGCAGAAGCTTTTTGACTGATTTTATTCTAATTATAGCTCGGTTATCTCGGAGATCTGCTCAATATCGGCTAAATATTTCCCCGCTACCATGACGCCTGCCACCTTGGTCCTTGTGTACTGAATTTTATTTTTTTCGAGTTTGGTACTCTAAAAATCAAAAATCAAAATCAGATACGATCGGCGACATGTTTGATGACAACATTTTTTTAATATTTATATGAGGCGCCAAGTTCTTCACCGCTTGGCATCAAACCAACTCCACCAGTCCACTTTCCGGATTGAATTGCTGTATTCATTGATGATGATAGGGAGGTAGCAGTAAGCATGACATATAATTTAATAGCTGGATGCACGCCGGTTTAAAATTAAGACACTGCCACACCGAGTCAAGATCGAATTCAACACTACTCAAAACGTAGACGAATGAAAGGTCCTTCTTGGCGGCGGCTGGGTGTTGTTACTGAAGTGAGGGTCAAACTTTCATGTCAAGCTCTTGCTTCAGCAGTATGAAGTATAAAACCACAGATATGCAGAACTACAAAAAGTGACGTGCCCACCTCTCGAAAGAAAACGAAGTCCGTACCCTTTACACACTACCGTCACCTTGTGCTATCTGATCAGATGCACATCATATCGAAACGAAAATACCTACCAATTTTTTAGTACCATTCTTGATCGCCAATAATTTGTCCAAGAAATACTCGCGCCTCCATCCACTCATGAACCTATTTTCCTTCAATGCATCTACGAGGAGGGAATCAATTAGTACAAAGAAGAGCTAGAACGGCAAGAATAGTTATATATATATATATAAATATACATACATACACATTTACATTACTTTGGATATACATATACATTATACACTACCCAATATATATATATATATATAAAACACACACACAAAATCACATACACATATATTCATA